GACCTAGCCCTGGACAACAGATTCGGATGCAGCCCGAGAAAATACCCTCTGCTCCAACGACTGCATTGGACAGACGACCTTCGTCGAAAGTATTAAATCGATGTCTGTTTGTGCAAAAATAGCAACACCGCGCCTTTATTGAAATTCATGTCAAAAACGTTGCCAGTCAAAGGTGCATTCTGGCGCACTTTGCTGTTTCGGATGTGGCAAGAGATACCCAACAAAAATGACACAAGCTCTGAATTTATTGGTGGCATGTCAATTGCCGTCGCCAATGTCTAGTGTCCCCCTGGCAGTGAATCGCCACCCCTGCATCGGTGATGATAATGAGTCGTCCTTATGACATTTTAAGTTATGCCTCGCTTGCTATACAGTCTTGAAGGACCATTGTATCAAACGCTAGCCCCGCGAGATCCACTGTGCTACAGTTGATCCCGTGCATTAGAACTTTTATGACGCTACAGACTTGGTCATGTAGGCCAGGGCACTTGATAAACCGATGGAACAAACTCAAACCCAGTTATTTCCGTTTTGCAATGTATATATCAAGTTGTACACAAATTCAATAAATGAAAGATTTATGACTACAAGAGTGAAAGTTAAATAAGACCATGAGGTATTGACATAAACTTCGCCTCTGTGTCTCAGTTAACCGTTCTTTCAACTTTTGTTTCACTATTGCAAAGGGTATTTTGCTTTTATGCTAATGAGTATTTCCATATTCGTGAGCCAGAACGGTGATGTCATCCCAGGAAGATAGTCTAAATGTTATATTAGTTTGTACACAAACATGCATCGTTACAGGTTTAGCTGGGCTAAATTTTCTCTACTTTGCTAATTCCATGTTGTTTATGTGCATACCAATAAATGGCCACCTTTCTCATAAATGTTTCAGTAAGTGAATTCTGGGTTCACAAGTTTCATGGCAAAACCTATGCAATGAACTATGGCCGTGACCGAAACGGACTTCCAGAGCTTCGGCTATTGTCTGCGCATCTCCTCGAATTTTCAGTGGAGTAAAGACCTAGACCTAGCTCTAGGGGTACCAACCAGTAAATAAGCTGCCATAGACAAAAGTGATAAATATCCCACTTCAAAAAATCAGGAAAAATACTCACAAGTTTCACAGGTGTTCAAGACACATATCAAATTAAAGCTCACTTCCTCATCTTTCATTTTCTTTTCAATTTTCAGTGGCTTAACCGATGACTTTTGAAGATATTTCTCTTCAGAGAAAATCACCCCTCAAAGCAGTCATTAGGCCAATCGCCATTTCAAAAATTGATGCCCACACACCATTGCAAAATAGAGCAATTTGGAAGGCCTCGTTTGGACCGATACTTTCAGAAATAGGCCTACAAGCTGGCAGTTCTGTCTGTGGATTTCATCCACCTTTTTAACAAACCACCCAGTCCACGTGCCATGAAATGCTCTAATGGCAGAAAATTTGACAGCCGACAAAACGTGATTACTGGCCTGCAACCCTGGACAACACATTAGGATGCAGCCTTGGTCTTCCCTGGATGACATCACAGCAACAGCGCCCCCAGTTGTCAAGGAAAGCGTGGCTCATGTCAAGTATTCATAAAAGTGCACCTTTCAGTTCATTTACCAAATGGGAGTGTAAAAGAGTGTTCGTGCCTTGAAGAAGAGTACAGAGCTGCAGAAGAATGGTGTCCAACAAAAAGTCATTGCGTCTGCCCATTAAATCACTCAGACTAACACTGTATGCAGCTTGCTGGTCGTTCCATATCCCGTGCATTTCGGCAGGAGATATCCCGTGAGAAGTAATCAAAGTTTTATAGCGTTTACGTGAGTACTTGATAGGGCGAAGGTAAAAATCTTTGTTTCCAATGGGTTGAACATTCAATAGCTTCAAACACACACCGACAAAGACGTCCTCAATTGGAAGGTATCTGGTGCCGAGCGACTTCTCGAAAACGTTACGGACCACGTCGTTCGAAAGCACGTATCCCCCTCCCGCGACGTACGGTGGGTACACAGGGTGAGGGAAAAGTTTCTTAGGCATGTACCACTTGCTGGCAGGATCCCGAAAGGGCCTCCCCTTCGAAAATCGATATCCAACTGCGTAGTTTGTAGACGGGGTTGCTGCATTGGTGAGGAGCTTGATGAGATTGTTATAACTGATGTACATGTCGTCGTCCGTCTTCATGACGTAAGAGGCCTGGGGACAGTGCGTAGTGGCCCACTTCATCCCCATGATGGTCTTCAGCGTCAGGTTCCTGTAGGCGTCTTGGAAATCCTCCTGGAGTACATCGTGGTGCTTCCTGGACTCCTTCTCCAGTTGTCGCTGAAGGCTCGCGTTCCCACTGTACCCAAACAGAAACAGCGTGACAATGTCCTTGCCCCTCACCTCCCCAAGGCTTCCCCATGTTTGGCGAATGGCCTGTCGCTGCTCGATGTGTGTATGAAAGCTGGTTACAAGCACCAGCAAAAACACTTCCCTGGGGGCTCCTGCAGCATCCAAACAAGCTTGAGGCTGATCTATGAGAAGACTGTATCCATGGGGATTAATGACCTGCCTGGAACCATTTCGATCCTGTGATCTAAGTGTCGAAGCTCGTGTTAAGTCTGAGTTATTCGTCGAGGCGATAAGTTCGGTGTCGGTCATGGAACCAATTCTCGTGTTTTGGTCGTGCGAGGTCGGCAACTTCACAGGGACCGAGTCATTGCCGGCTTCGTTGGACGTAGGAAAATTACTTCCAGTTGGTAACTTGACATTGCGAATAGGAATCCCATTCCCCCTTTCCCTTGGCGAGACTTTCCCATGGATGATGCTCTTCGAGTTAGTGGCACTTGCTACTTTCATTTTTGGAGTCAGTCCGGGGAACCAAAACAAGAGCAGCAAAAACAGACAAATCTGGCACAGGCCTACAATTCCGCAGATGGTCAGAATCCGTGAACGGCTCTTGTTTATCATTCTTAAACGCCACGCTCACCTGTTGTCTGTTTAAAGTCCGATCTGTAAATCCAGAGAGCTCTCCACTTCACTAAATCCAGTTAACTTGAAACAGAATCCTACGCAACAGGTTCTGTCTTTAAAATAGGAAAATAAATTATGAAAACAACATAAAAAGGGGTACTTTTCTGAAAAAGGGTACTTCCCTGGTACATCAGGAATCAAGCTCAGCATGGCGGAAAGAGTCGAACTCACACTTTTCTGTAAACGCAAGCAATTCTCCGTCTCCCACCCTATACGCCAGGAAGTGACGACACATTCAGAACAGCATGTCTTTTTTTGTGTTAAGATACATAATTTCCCAGCCCAATATGCAGACCGTGTCCCTTTTCAGGTTTATATTATTTTTCAGTCAGATATACTCCAGTACGGGAATAAGAAACCCGAAGATTCCTAGTACCTTCTGTTGTCTCTGAAGTGACGAAGTTGTCAGGATACCAGCACCTTTTACCGCCACGCATAATGGTCCAGCAGCATTAACAGTACATCATGGCACCTGCATTGCGCTGTAGAAGTAGGTTGTGGTATTTTTTGTTTGCACTATATTTTACACAAATTTCCATTAAAATGGATGTTAAAAGGTCACGCACAGAAATTCTCAACGCTCTGTTGTGCATACTATTGCTCACTTTTGCAATACAAAACATTCACTTGCATTTCAGGTTTAGTGACGCACCTGCATTACGGGCTATTGAACGTTTCTTTCACATCAAAGCCCTTCCAGAAAGTATTTTGTTAACAATAACTCAATGGAGAACCGAAGTTCACACGTACTGTTAGCTGCCTTTTTCGTGATTCAAGACTAGATTTCGGACAATTCACTTCCTTTAACACCTGCGCAGATATCATTGTTACGCAGTAATTGAATGAATGATTTAAGTAAACCAGTTTAGTACCGTGTGGCTATAGAATGAAAGCTTCAACTATTCCGTATATAGCTGTATGTTTGGGTAAAAACACTGCTGCTTGGGATGATGTTGGTTTCCATGGAGACAAATTGAGGCAAATATTAGTGTTGGTATCAATGGAAGTGGTGCTGAGGTGTGGATATACTGCTACCGCTGTTGTAATTTGAATGTCAACTTTGACATGGTTTAAAATAAATCAATAAATCAATTTTCTTCCCCTTGTTGTGGGGCCGTATGAGACTAATATAGGTCAATAAGCATTGTTAAATGATACACCAGCGTCGGGGGGGTGAAATCAGGTAAAGATTTACACTTTCAATTTTCAACCATGCACCCGTCAGCCCCGTCAACGAACGACGCAAGGTCGAACTCAGTGTTCAAACTAGGGAGAGTTCAGCATTAGCAATGCACGGGTTGACTTCCACCATGCGGGGATGAAAGTTAAGTCCTAATGTGAAGATTCAGCTGTCCGTTGTGACTTCTGTATAATACCAGTGATCTGCTTGCGACTCGTCTGCGAAGCAAAGTTCGACTTGACTGAGAAAGTGTTTGGGAACGGAATCGAATTCCGTATTATAGAGACACTTTGTGAACCGAGTCTACAGTTCAGTGTATTGAGGTTACTTATTCCCCATATTTTTCTATGGGAGTCAGCCTGCATCCCTCGCTGTTTTGTCGTTTTCGGGCCGTTCGGTGGAGGCGAATTCGCCCCCGAGTATCAAGTTTTTCTTTGCACCTTCAAAGAACTGTTTTCGCCACCCGTGGAGTCGTTGTTTTTTGCAGAGCCTACCCAACTAGTCTTCGCCCGTAAAATCTTCGTGCTTATATCGTATTAAATCTTTTTTCTTACCGTACCCTAGGGTATTTTCATTACTGAATCACATGGCTACTTTAGCCTTTATATTTGTGTCATCTTGATTTCTTTATTGCATCTAAGCGAATTCAGGAGGTTTTTTTAGTTTAATTTGCACTCACTTTTTAGTTTGGAAGATATTCGGATCGTGGAGCACTCTCATCTCTCAGGGGGCTTAGCGGTTGAGTTCCATCGCTAGGGTTGGCTTTAATTCGGTTCTTCGCGCTTAAACTCCAATCTCCGGGACAACTGCTACTCCTTCATTTTCTGATCAATTCCCCATGGCTTTGGATTCCAATTACTAACAGACGCAAATGGTGGAGTAGTGCACGTGAATCTCGCTGCACGTGAATTGTGCCAAAATTGAGTTCGTTCTTCATAATGGTTTGTTTGTTATCAACTGTTTGGGCAGTTTGCCTATTTTGGGTTTTGGTACAGTCCATCGTTGTGCATAGATATTCCTTAGAGGCGACAAAATCACTCAAAAGCGACAGAAAGGTGTCTCAGAACAAACCCAATGAAGTTTTAGCTCAGTCACACCGCATATCCCGACGAAAACAATATTGTATGGTTAAGATTTCAAATCAGTAGTTGCCGAGTTTTGAATTGCGCCTAAATTTATCGTCTGGGACTCGTTCATACGTTCAGTTGAATGCAGCCGCGCAATGTAACGCACCGAACAGACGAATTATAAACGCATGCGCATGTGCCGTGTCACTTACAGTAATTTTCCAAAAATGGGTCTTTAGACGATTCAGATCTAAAAGCCCCACTTTAAAAGGTGTTCCTTTAGGACTACCTCTTTTGCTTTTTCTCTTTTTTTCCCTTAAGTTTTTTCGTCTTCAAAGGAGTGGGATGAACCCTCCCCCATGGTGCCTCTCTGCATCTCTGCATTTTCTTGTCAGAGATGTATTTTGTTGCTTCAAGTTGTTCCGTGTGCGATGTCCCGCGTCTTTCTGCTGTAGTGTAAGCATGCAGATTGGCGTGCGGTCCAATCGGGACCCGTCACGTGTTTGCCCCGTAAACAGCCTGACATTTCCAATTGTCTCAGATCATTGGAAAATGAAACTAACCCCTCGACACAAACGCTTGATGTCCATTGGTCTTTTTATCGGTGTGGCTGTGCAGTTTCTGTTGATCTGTCGGCCAATAGATAAAGGAAACACGTGCATTTCGAAAGCATTGCCTTTGTTGTTGGTGTTCTGCGAATTCACTATGTCTTTTTGTTTGTTTGTATGCTTTTGTTTTTTTACTTAGTTGCCTTCGACGCAGGGCCTGGTGATACTGATTACAAAATATCAATGACGGGGAATTAATCATTTGCCAGACGTTGATCGTGTACTTTTGCCGATTCCTGCCTGCATCAAACGCAACTCTGCCGAGGGGAACGCGGATCTCGGAAGAGTTAATCATAACTTGTCCCGAGAACTGGCCATTTGGGTTCATCTTTTTGTTTTGTCAGCAGAGTGTTTGCCTTAGAATGGAGTGGGTGGATAGATGGCGCAGTGCCCGTTGTTCTTGCGTAACTATGGAAGGCAGTCCGCTGAGCGGCCTATCTCGCTGTGAAGCCTCAGGGCAACTATCTCGCCTCACCGTAGACTTCGTGCCAGTCGGTAATTAATTCGGTTTTGTTCTCTACACGGGATCCACACGGTATCCGTATACAGTACACGTATTCGCGATAAGTTCCAGATAAGTAGTTAATCGGCACATTTTGTTACTAATTTTGTACTACAGATACACGGACAAAACACTATGTAACGAAATGTCCTGTATACACCAAAAACGCCAAATCTTTAAACATCCTTGGGGATGTTGCTAGTTTGTGATTTCAAACCGAAAATTTCAACTCCCCCGATGTACACGTTTACTGCATGGGATCGGTAGGTTTTGGGGTGGAGAAAGATGGCGGCTGGTGGCTTCAATTCGCAACGGAGCGCTCCCCCATCCAGTTTCCGTGTAGAGTTAACAAATGATTAATACAGTCAAAAGACCCCTGGCTGTCGCCGTGTAATCTTCAGAATGTGGTTTGCTCTTCGTGACGTCAAGTCATGGCTGATCCAAATGGGTTAGATAGACCAGACGATCTCTTTAAGTCAGGATTATGTTTGACAGGAAATATCAATTCTTGGCCCGCACAAAAGATTTGGAGGAACAGCAGAAATGGCAGTGCCACGCGTTATCATAAGTAAGGATGGAAACTTAAAGTTATAAACCATTTTTCTTTTGTCTGTAAATGTGTATCGCTTCATTCTTTATTAAACTGAATGTAAATTACTTAAACAAAGTGCAGTGAAAAACTGGAAAAAAGATTCAAAATATCGGCAAAACACTTCCCAAACCAACAACCACAATACTCAGAACAAGGCTTTGTTTCGTTTTACATTTACGCGTCGCCACTCAGCTTATCCGTATAGACTTTTCCTGTGATGTCACAAGCGTGCTAGACCGCGATGTGTTGTGATGGTAATGAGTGGATAGTGTTGTGATGGTGATCTACCTATTCAAGATAAACTAGTCAAGCATGCTGCCGACATGCACTTGCTCGTGGTTGACGCTGCCCGTAGGAATATATGCGATTACCTTGGCCATGGCGCTCCACACATGGTGGTATTGTTTACATTTGGTGCAATGCAGTCACGTGGGCGCAAAAGGTCTATAGAAAAATCTGAAACATTCCTCGTAGTTACAGAAGCAACGTGTGACCTGTGGCACGTGCAGTCGGGTTTTTTTTTTTTCTCCAGTCTCCCCTGATGGCACCTGTTGTGACGACGACAATTATATATCGTTGGATTCAGATCATATTAACCTTTTGGAGGATTAAGGAAGATCCATTGACTTGTTAATTTCCGGGGCTTCCCGATGTTTCCGTAAGAAAAAGACATCAGTGGCCAGAAGAATAACCCGTCTTGGGGTTGGTTTGGGAGCGACCACAACGGGCATCACTGTTTCTTCTGCCGCGCTGTTTACACAGCGGGTTCCGCACAGTTGCCATGGGTGCAGTGAACTAATTCAAGTAAGAATTTCTGTCCAGCTGATTGGCAGTTTCTTTTGACAAGGCGGATTGTTTAACACCCCTCCCCTGGTGAGGTTGTTGAAATTCAGCATCACAACCCTTGGGTCTGAGGCCTTCCATGTGATGGCATAAGTGTTTAAAACAGGGTTGAAAGGTGGCTCCGAGTGCCCGAGAAAGAGGAATGCTATTTGAAAAAAATTAATGAATGCGAGCAGGGTTGGGGCCCTCACTTTTCGTGGAGGAAGGGGGGTGGTTTTATTTTGTGTGAATAGTTAAAAATATAATTTGACAACCCATCAAAAATTCAAAAGAAATGGAAAGATTGTAAGAATACAAATTTAGTTTTTACTTGAGATACCCCAGCGATATCGGCCTACGTGTCATTGAACCCGAACAACGTTGATTTGACACTCTTTCAATGGGGCTTAGTGCACTGTACCTGTATACTTCGCATATGAGATACAACTTCCAATTTGGGATCAAACTTCTAGATTGGGCGCCCGATCTATGTACTTGACCACCAAAATGGGGTCAGGTACCAGACTTGTGGAGCAGCTGTCGAATGTAATCTGGTGTTCATGGTAAACTATATTATTATCTCCAGATGCTTATTACATCAAGAAGTAAGTTTCAAGGTGTTTGTTTGATATAATCATGCGATTATTCTGTTGAATCTTTTCAAAAACACACTCCACCCATTCCAAGATTGCACAGGCCGGCCCTCTTCGCAAACATTATTGAC